AGAGGCAGAAAGAGCCTTCTCCACAGCGGGATATATATGCAGGTTGGGAGACAACACCATCAATACCATTTGTTTCTTGAGCTCCTACTTTTAGAAAGTCAAAAAAATAACAGAAGTGATTGATTTAATTTTATTTAATCCTTTGAAATACTTTATTCAAGACAAGACTAATATTTTATAACTTCTACTCTAATTCTATTAAGTAAGAGTTTTAAACTTTTATTCTATAAGTGGTTAGTGGGCTAGGCTAGGCATTTTTATTGTTAAAATTAGTGAGAAACTGAGACTACCTAGTTAGTTAAATAGTTAATTAAATTAATTAGTATCACTATCTTAGATATATGATGATATGAATGCATATGATTCATGACTGTGATAATAATAACTGACTACTAGACTACTACTAATTACTTACTCACTACTTTACTAACACTAATAATTAAATTACTTATAAATAGCTACAGACTGATATGTAGAGCCTATATAAGAAAACTGGTAAGACTGATAGCCACTTAGCCACTGATTATCCGTCCTTACATTATTATAGTAGAGTATATTAATATAAATTAATTAGTAGAATTACCTCTGCTATTATTTAACTTAAAGGTTACATTATAGTTATAATCTAACCAAACATTTAAAGTTAATTATCTCTATCTCAAGTGTTAAACTGAACCAAAGTTAAGTTTACTACCTAAATATGTAAGAAGTTTTATTGATTTACTGTATAGTGAGTGACCAGTCTAAATAATAAAAGTTTCTTAAGTATTTAAAAAAATGTTTTATTTGTTTAAAAAAACCATAAATTACTGGATAGATAGATAGATAACACTTTATTGCACCAAAAATACATCTGTGCTGGATCCGCGCTGGATCCAGCTGGAATGATGTTGATCCAGCAAAAATCCAGCTGGATTGAAAACACTGCTGGATTGCAATCCCTAATGACCATCCATTCTAAACTTAAGAAATGCATCACTCATATCTGTTTCTTTTCCAAATAAGTGAATACTAAGTGGCATTGTACACATTGACTCTTATTGTACATATATGTGTAGAAAATGCTATACTGTATTTGCACATGGTTCTATATTTTTAGACAGGCTGAAAGATTCCATGTTGTGTAGCTTGTTAAATGGACTATGAAATTTGCACTCCCGTCTGCATTTTTACTATTATTAGATAACATAGTATATGGAAATTCATATAATTGCTGATTAAAGAAACCAAAAACTTTTTATTTGAGAAAAGCTTTCAACTCAAGTCATCTTCAGTTCCATTACAGTAATGAGCAACGTGTAGAATATGAATAGCATGTAGTGTACTGGTATATAGTTTGTCATTTAATCATCAGGTACAAAACAGGAATGTAAGGGTGGTTTTAAACTTGACTCAGTGTAGTTGCTATTACTTAGGTAATTAGCATTGTTGGCTGATATATTGCTACACTACTGTTCTGGGGGAAAAAATTAAGTCTTAAAACATGGATTGCTCTGTGAATACTGCTAATAAAGTTTTTTAATAATTTTCTTATAAACTTTCTTATAAACTGAGTATTTATGTCACATGTCTTATTAATACTTTTTCCACATTAACTTTCTTAGTTTAAAATAGTAGTTCTGTATAAATCAAATTTTTAAAGCTGATGTCTTGTATTTGGAAGAATCCTTAGATTTGCATGAAAGAATAATATAGCCAATTAAATAGTATAAATATGGCATTTATAATTCAGGTAACTCCAATTTAATATGACAATTCTGCAGCATCAAGGAATTGCAATGAACTTAACATAATATTTCTTAGCTTTTGTGTAGTAAAAATCATGCCTCCATTTTCATGAACACATGCAGCAGTACATTTGGTATAGAAAGCATAAAGACATTGCAATAGTTAAATTTAAGGAGGCTTGTGGGAATCCTCCCTATTTCCAAGAAATTCTCTTGGAGAAATCACGCGGAGTCTCCCCTTTATGCCTTTATGTCTTTAATTACAGTAACTTGCAAATCAGTTATTATTAATAATGATCTATAAAGTAGGCTTAAAATATTAGAAATCTTATAATTTAAAAATTATATCATTGCATCAGTGATGGGAAAGTCCAAGTCCACAAACTTTTTGAATCAAGGTGAGACTTAGTTCACATATTGTTGACTAATGTGAGAATGTGAAACATCTTATGATGTCATAGAAATGTTGCTGAAAGAAAAAATTCTGAAATTGCAGTTTTTGCTACAGCAATTTCTACAGTTGGAAACATGTAGATATTGCTGAAATTATAATTCTAAGTCATAATCTATTGTTTTTAACATAATATCAAATTACAATTATATAATATGTGAAGCAGAAAATAATTGAATTAATTTATCTTTAAAGAAATTTGTTTGTTTTTATATAAAAACCTGTTTCAGTTTATCTGATAATGAATGTGATATCACTATTCTATGGTCAAAACAAATTAGTTTGATTTAGTTAGAATTCTTACATGAGCATATATAAAAATTAGAAATATATTCAGTATCACATCATACTAAGATATACAATTCCATATTACTAAACTTTATGGCTCAGAACTCTACATGCTTATGATTTGAATATATAGTCCTTTCCTTGAGCTTGGAGTCTAGACTTGAATAACAAAAAGACTCATTCATCTTTATTCTGCATTATTATATTTGCAATTGAGCTCTTAGTATAATATCAATTGGCATATTTAAATTTTAAACATTTTATAACTTTAAAATACTGTGCTAGTTAAGCAAAATTATAAATTTGAGAGAACTTCTAATAACACTGGACAACAAAAAAAAATTTTCGAATGCTTCCTTTATTTCATGAGTGAAATTTTACTAATTTTGGGGTGAGAAAATTGAATATGACAATGAAAAATTTTTATTAGCTCTTTCTGTGGTATACAATTGGTGATTTTAAAAGCATAAGAGAAAACGATACATTTTAATTACAAATGCTAACATTGAAAGGGCTTTTGAATTTTTTTAAAATAAAGCAATAGCTGGCTGAATGCCATGTAAGGCCCATTAAATGGACTTTTAAGTCATCTCCAGTAATTTAGATATAACCATACTCATGGTTATATCTAAATTAATAATCTGTATCTGGAGATTAAGATCATAGGGCAGTTTGGGTATTATAACTGGCAACAAAGCTGCATGGTTTGTGAGAGTTGTAGATTTGTCCTGCTTGGGACCAATTATTTTCTTCCAGAATGTTCTACATTAAAAATTAAATATTTATTTATTTATAATTAGTAAATTTACCAAGAGATGGCATCTAACATCAATCTTTAGGCAAAATTACTTAATATTTAATTATTAAATAGCAATATAAACACAAAACCTTTTTAACCAGTAACAGAACTTTAAAGTAACTTCTGAATGTTTTTGGCTTTCACCAAGGCCTGCCTCAGGTTTTTAACTTAACTGTTAAATCAACATTCGACCTTGTATTGAGAGTACGTGAACATCAATACGACCTTGCAAACAACAGGCATATTATCACCTTGTCCACGTATGCCACCGACTTGGAAGTACATGCGGACCTCCAGAACACCAGATTAATTTGGCAGGCCTTTCAAACAGATCATATTTGTAGCAGATTATATTTGGAAGTACAGTAGAGTAGAGTCCGAAAGTCAATCATCCGAAAGAATTCCAGTCGGCAAATTTAAATTTTCGCCAGTGCTGTGGCACTTCAATCTTTGGCTATGTCTTGGGCTACTCAAATATTTTATGTTTTTGATACTAAATTAACATCTGAAGTATATTTTTTTATTGTTTTTATATTTTTCAATATATTTATTTTGTTTGTACAAAATAAAAAAATAATTTTTAACGATACAATAGTCTTTGTTAGGCTTAACATCGACGAAAATTCGACGTAAAGCGACATGCAATGGAGAAAATTTCGACATCGGATACGTTAAACAATTTTTTCGTACATAAATTGGTTATTAGAAATATCAGTTATACGAACAACCCCAGTCCCCAATTGATTCGAAAAATCGACGCTCTACTGTATATAAAGCCAACCTGAATGGCAACTGTATTAACTTAAAGGACTGTGATACGGTGGCACAGGCATGGAAGTATGAAAGATTCAAGCAAAGTCAATTAGCCGTATGAATTTGATATATTCGAAAACTTAAAATTGATTTTTCAAACATCTTTGAACATTCCAGTTTGGAAGTCAGTTTAGTTAAAAACCTGAGGCAGGCCTTGATGAAAACTGAAAACATTTGGAAGTTGCATTAAAGTTCTGTTACTGGTTAAAAAGGTTTTGTGTTTGTATTTAATTACTCCAGTAATTTGAGGAGATAATTATAATTAAATAGTAGCCTTATTATAGCCCAATATAATCTGGCAGATCATTTGGCCTTAATCAAAAATTGGATTAATAAATGTTCATATTTTTTATGCTAAGTGTTAGTATTAATTCTATTTACTATATATATGCAATTAATAATTGTTTTTTAAATCAAATAAAACTAAAGTAACTAAATTTATACTTTTAGCTTTGAGTTGTTCAAAGCTAAAAATATAGATATTAGCAACTCAAAGGTGAATAGGAAAAGTTAACACCAGTCTTATATTTTAACAGCATCCTTGTTAATATACTAAATTTATTATTTTTTAGTTGTTTACCTATAAAAATTTTAATTGTCTTCAAAACAGAAACATGTAAATTGTTTAAATTGAATAATAACTTTTGTATAATAAGATAATTTATAAGATACTATTGAAGATAAATTCTGTTGGTTAGGCATATTTATAGAAGTTTCTGAATTATCTTTACTTTATTTATCATATATAATATCATTACCACATATAGTAATTTCTGAAGAAAGAAAAATAACAAAAACATTTGCATTTGTTAACATTGAAGTTTTTTGATTCTATTAATTCAATAAATATTTATATATTGATATAATTATTTCTATAAATATATTACATAAAGCATTTTGTAAATAAATTCATATTTTTCAGAAATCTTCATTAATGATTCATATATTAAAAACTGAATCCATATGTTGATATCAAAGCTGAAAACAGAATGACTACACTGAACAGTCTTTTTTCATTTACTAGTCCAGCTGTTAAAAAACTTTTAGGATGGAAACAAGGAGATGAAGAAGAAAAATGGGCTGAGAAGGCAGTAGATTCATTAGTTAAAAAACTTAAAAAAAAGAAAGGTGCAATAGAAGAACTTGAAAAAGCTCTTAGTTGTCCTGGACAACCAAGCAAATGTGTTACGATACCACGTTCTCTAGATGGCCGATTGCAGGTAAATTTTATTGATAATTTTAGAATACTACATGACAAGATTGAAACTTATAATAAATTTTATTATTTTCAGGTTTCACATAGGAAAGGTTTGCCACATGTGATTTATTGCAGAGTTTGGCGTTGGCCTGATCTTCAGAGTCATCATGAATTAAAACCTCTTGATTGCTGTGAGTTTCCATTTTCTGCAAAACAAAAAGAAGTCTGTATTAATCCGTACCATTATAAGAGAGTAGAAAGTCCTGGTTAGTATAATTTAGAAATTATAGAAAACTCAAAGTACTTTATTATATTACAATAATCTATTATTTTATATTGGATTAGTTTATATATCAAAATAGAATTATTAAAAGTTTATTTTTAAAGACCTTCATAAGTTGTTTTTCAAACATGATTTTATAACTGGGTATTTTGGGACATTCTATCCTGTACCCCCTATAAAATATAGTTTATTTGAATTAAACAAGAAAAACAATGATGCCAAAATTATTCCGAAGAAATAATTATTTAAATAAATATGGGCCTATAAGTATTGGAGGAAATTTGAATGAATTTGAAGAATGTCAATGCAAATTCATTCAAAAAAAATACACCACCACTAATACAGTCATTAGATAACAACTTATTAAAACATCTCAGATTTCTATGAAAAGAGGTTCACATTTAGATGCAGCTACATTTTTCAAACATGAAGATTTACACCCAAAAATTTTTGGCTAGAATGCTCTCTTAATTTATAAACTATACTCATCAAAATATGAGTCATTGAGAAGAGAACCTTTGAAAGGATATTTTATTGACACAATATTGTAATTGAATCCAAGATAAAGACATTATTTTGTTCATTAGATCAAGAATTTGTTGTTTTTTGACTATGAAAATTTGGGATTTATTCTTTGCTTTTATTGTTTGTTTCCATTCTTCTACATACATTTCTTTAGTAATTTTGAAACTTTTAACAATGATTTTCATTTTGGCCAATGATATTCTATAATCACTCATTTTCTGTGTTTTTTACTCTAAATTTAGTTTTTTCTACCAATTAATTTATTCTTTAGTCTTTCAAATTTTCTACTAATTATTTTCTTAGGAATAATTTTGTTATCATTGTTTTCCTTGTTTAATTTTGTATGGAATGAATTATATTTTATAGGGTAGGACAATACCAATACCTTGCAAAATACCCAGTTGTTAATATGTTAACATAATAGAGAAGTTCAAATGTTTTACAATATTTTTGTTAATGAGTTTAATATTAATAAGTTAAGTAATCAAATCATAAAAAACTTTTATTAAAATTATCAAGAGACTACTCATTTATACTAAAAAAGTTTAAATTTAATACAGTAGAGCATCGTTTATCCAAATCAATTGGGGACTGGGGTTGTTCGGATAACTTATTTTTCGGATAACCGATTACGTACGAAAAAATAATTAACCTATCCCGTGTTTAAAATTTTCTCCGTTACGTGCCGCTTTCCGTTGAATTTTTGTCAATGTTAAGCCTAATGTAAAGTTTTTAAAATAATAATCGTGGCTATTCTGTCGTTAAAAATTATTTCTTTATTTTTTACAAACGAAATAAATATATTGAAAAATATAAAAACAAAAAAATTATACTTAAGAAGTTAATTAATCTAGTATCAAAAACGTTTGACTCAGTATGACACACAGTCCTCAGAAAAACACCACACAAAAGTGCCAGTGCTGCCAGCTAAAACACACACACAAACAAAAAAAATGTTGGAGTAGCTAAATAATGCAGCACCACAGCACTAGCGAAAATTTAAATTTGCCGACTGGAATTCTTTTGGATAACTGACGTTTCGGATAACTGACTTTCGGATAAACGATGCTCTACTGTACTGACTTATACTTAATCAGCGCACACAATACAAATGTAAACTGAAGCAATATGGCACCTTACTTGCATTGAATTGAAACAACTGAATCATAGGAATAATGTTTATCAAAATATTTAGTTTTATTTCTTATTCTTAATGTTTTTCATGTAAAATACTCAGCATCATTCATAATGATGAAATCAGATACAGTAATACTGTGACTTACGCTACCCCGACTTATGCAAACCCGGAGTTATGCGACTTTCAAATCTCATTGACTCATCTTTTGTTTGAGCGCCATGCAACTTGATTACTCATTCCCCCCCACACTATTGTTCAGGTTACATGTTCGGACGTGTCACGTGGAATCGACGCATAGCTACAATTTATTTTGTGTTATTTATTTCTGTGTTTGTTGTATCTATGGAGACTTGAGAAACTACTACGTCATTCAAACGAAGTAGAACTGATTCTTCTGCATCAAACAAGAAAAGAAAAACTTTATCTTTGGAATGTAAAGTTAACATTATTAAAGACTTCAATACAAAAATGAAAATTTGTGAATTGGCAAAGAAATTTGATCTACCAGAATTGACAGTCAGAATAATTATAAAAGGTAAAGAAAAAATTCTCGAAGCTGTGAAAAATGCTCAATCTTTAAATTCAAGCATCATTCGTAAATGTCATGGTATTATCGCTGAGATGGAAACACTTAAAATTATGGTGTGATAATCAAGTAAATGTGAAAAAATTGTCCTATTGATCAGAACACAGTGTGCTCTCAAGGTAAGCTGATTTTTGAGAGATTTAAAGAGAGGATGCTGGAGAGGTGGCTAAAGATGAAGAGTTTAAAGTTAGTAACGGTTGGTTCAACTGATTCAAAAGTTGCTTTAATTGGCATAGCATTGCAGAAAGTGGAGAGGCGGCAAGTGCTGATAAAGAGGCAGCGTCTTACTAGCCAAAGAAATTCAAAGCTATGATAGATGAAGGCGGCTATAACAGCCAAACCATATTCAACATAGATGAGACTGGCCTGTTCTGGAAGACAATGTCTAAAAGAACTTTTATCGTGCGTAAAGAGAAAACCTTTCCAGGTTTTAAGGCCGCGAAAGATTGATTGACAGTGATGGTTGGCGCGAATGCAGCTGGTGATTGTAAGTTAAAATCTCTCTTAGTTTATTGCTTGGAAAATTCAAGAGCATTGAAAAATAAATCTAAAGCTGGCTTGCTTGTGATTTGGAAGTTGAATCGTAAAGCTTGGGTGACAGCTTTCCTTTTTGAGGACTGGTTTGGTCATCACTTCATACCTGAAGTCGAACGTTATTGTCAATCTAAACAAATTCCATTTAAAGTGATGCTAATAATTGACAGCACACCAGGTCTCCCCTCTGCAACTTTAACTAATTTTGACCCACGTGTGAAAGTTGTATTTTTACCACCAGCTTGCTTCAACTGATGGATCAGGGAGTCATCAAAACATTCAAAGCTTATTACACGAGACGATTGTTTTCACATCTGCATGAAGCTATGAGACAAAAACAATGAGCTCTCTGTTAAAGACTTTTGGAAAACAATTCAATGTTTTAGATGCAGTGAGAATCATTGGACAATCTTGGAATGAAGTTTCACAAAAAACTTTAAATGGCATCTGGAAAAAACTATGTCCTTTTTTTTTTTTCATCACTGAAACTCAGGCTGAATCAGTGCCAGAGCCTGATGAAATTGGTAATGTGATTGAAGAAGTTGTTGATCTTGCCAGGCAAATAAATTTAGAAGTGGATAGTGATGACATTCGAGAACTGCTGGATTCCCACAATCAGGAGCCGACAATTGATGAGCTTATAGAAATGCATGAGCAAGACATTGAAGAACTTGATTCTTTAGACCCAGTTCAATCAGATGATCGAATGACGGTTGGAAACTTGACAGAAGGTCTCAGTTCAATTGAAAAGGGGTTACAAAGTTTAAAAAATATAGGCCCCAATGAAGAGCACATTTCTTCTACAAAACGAGAAATAAAAATATTATTAACATGCTACAAAGAAATTTTGCAGGAGAAAAAATCTTTGAGCCGTCAGACGAATTTGTTAGATTTTATGAAGCCTCCTCCTACATCAAATAACTTCGGTTTACAATTTTAATAATATAATTTTTTATACATATGTATTATCTAAGATTTTATTAAANATTAACATGCTACAAAGAAATTTTGCAGGAGAAAAAATCTTTGAGCCGTCAGACGAATTTGTTAGATTTTATGAAGCCTCCTCCTACATCAAATAACTTCGGTTTACACAATTTTAATAATATAATTTGTTATACATATGTATTATCTAAAATTTTATTAAACATTTTTTTCTAAATTATTGTTTTCTTTAGTCTCCGGCTCCAATTAATTAATTAAAAATAATTTGTATGTATTTATATGCAAAATTATACCCCGACTTACGCAGTTATCACTCGGTCCCACTTATTGTGTAAGTTTGGGGGTATTACTATAGGTCATATTTAATTATTCAATGCTTAAAAGGGTTTCTGCCAATTTTAAGATATGAAGAATATAGAAATTATACATTACAAATGTAATTTGTATATTTTGTGGGAGTGGGAGATATGTGTATATATAATCTCTTGTTCCTCCTCCTCCTCCTCATAAACAATTGCAATAATACAAATCAGTGTTATTCATTTCAATGTTCAATGTTAATATTAAAGAATGTGTGTTTATACACACACACAAACACACACAATAAATGTTGTTTAATTAAATAATCATTATCTCATAAAAAATAATTAAAATATTAACTTCTTATAGCAGTATAATCAGTGTTTTCTCCAGAAATTTTTACTAGCCATTTTTTTGCTGTCTGGCTGGTAAAGGTTTCTAGGAAACTAGAGTCATCCCCCCTATAACACAGTAGATATGTTCCGTTTTTTATGAAATTCATGTTGTACGAGTCCTTAAATACATGAGCTGATCACAGCCCGGCACATATGCAGTTTACGGACTACGGCTGTTTGAAAGGTTTTCTTCCATAAAATTAATCGATTCTAAACTAATTTGACTCAACATTTCCAAAACAAGTATAATTTTTTGGGAATAATCCATATAAACTATGCATAAACAAAAAATTGGGGGATTACTTACCGAGTGTGCACTGTTCGACAGCGCCATTGCTTAAGCTTGTTTTCGTCATGGAGCGGCGCATCGAACGGCGGGTGCGTGTTTCCTGATAAATTATTTTTCTGTGAAAAATTCACTGAACTTTGGAGACATTATTAATATAAATATAATTTTTATGGCCGTTAAATAGTAAATGGTTTTATTAGGTCCACTGCTCATTTAAACTCAACGTTTGTGCAATATCTGCTATTGGTCTAGATTCGACCAATCCTGTCAC